TGGTAGGCCTGGGCGGATGCCCTGCTGCCCAGGGTGGCGGGCTGGGACCCGGCCATGGCTACAGGGCTGTGGACCCAGGCCACGTGGGCACCCTAGGTAGCAGGGCACAGGGTCACATGACACAGAACATGACATACAAGCCCACGACTCATGAGTAAGCACATGGGCAGTGCACACAAATTCACAGGTCAGGGCGATACACAACCTTGGCTGGATACACGGACAAAACTATATGACACGTGGGCGCTATGGCCACAGCGGACAGACCCAGGCCATGGAGTGCGAAAGACCGGAATGGGGCCTTTTTAGCACGACTGCACTAGAGTAGTGAGAAGAGGGTGGTGGGGGCTGGTCTGGAGGCTTCTGTCTTCCACTTTGCTGAGCAGCTTCACCACCTCAGCGTAGATGGGGGACATGATGGTCACATCCCGGCGGACCTGGCCGAGGCGGGGGACAGCACCCTTGCAGAAGGCCTTGAGGCCTTCATTCCTCAGGGTCTGCGATCCAGCCCCACGTGTTCAGCATCTGTGCACCTCCAGGCCATGCATCCGGGTCAGGCAGACCCTGACTGTGCCCGCGAGAGCTCGAAAACCCCTTGATCAGCGCTTTCAGGGTCGTGTTGGGCTTGTTCTCTCCGCACCAGTTGTATGGGGACGTCATGACAACGTGAATGGCTTGGCCGGATCCCTGCTTCAGCACATTGGCCGTGCGGCCCAGGTATGTCCTGTTCCCGCACAGTGTCCCCCACCGGGTGGAAGAAGCCTCTGTACTTGGAGTTGGGGGAGGTCTGGTCCTGGATGAATTTCACCTTGATGGTCTCCAAGGAGCACACAGCCACCGCGGCCCCGGGCCACGCCAGCTCCCAGGCAGCACAGCAGCCTGCGTGTGCCGCACAGCTTGTTGCTGCTGAGCAACCTAAGGACCGCCTTGGAGTGGAGCGGTAGAGCAGGATGCCGCGGCCACATCCAGCTGCAGCTGCAGTCTTCACGTATTTGGTGGGGGAGATGATGTCAATCGCGATGCCGCCCTCCAGGCTGCCTACCGGGACCCAGAGCCCCGGTTCTGAGACCCCCTGCCAGGCCTCCTGGCCACCCCACCCGCTGGCATCCGGGCCCTTCCAGGCCCCAGACTCGGCCCGGTGCAGGTGCTGCGGGGAGGCCCCGGCTGGGGCCCCATGCCCCTCCCCCACTCCAGTTGTCCTGAAGAGGCAACAAACGAGGGGCGACACAGAGGGCGAGCATTTGCGCCAGGCTGGGGACCAGGAATGCTAATTCCCTAGCCCCCCCACTTCCCCCTGACCCTTGTGAACTTTTAAAGAACTTATTTTTTTATGAACTATTTGAGGGTAAGTTGGAGACATTTTGCCCCATTAACACATCAGTATTTAAGAACAAGGACATTCTCTTACATAATAACCACAGTGCAATTATGATGCTCAGGAAATTTAACTCTGATACAGTACTATTGTCTAATCCACAGCCCATATGCAGGTTTTTGTCTTTTGTCCTAATAATAGCCCATATTCAATTATTGTCTATTGTCCTAATACTTGTCTTTAGAGCTATTTTTTTCCTGGTCTAATATTCAATGCTGGGTTGTACACTGCGTTTACTTGTTCATGTCCCTTTAATCTCCTTGAACATTTCCTTAGCCTTTTTGTTTGTTTCTTGATTTTGACATTTTTTTTTGAAAAGTATAAACTGGTTTGCAGAATGTTTCTCAATTTAATTTTATCTGGTTTTCCCTCGTGATTCGATTTAGGTTTTGTGTTTTTGATACGAATACTACAGAAGTGATGTTTGTCCTCAGTGTCTCGTATCAGAAGACACATGGCATCAATTTGTGCCATTGTTGGTGAAGTGAAAGTGGTTGTCCTCCAGGTCGCCCTGCTTAAAGCTATTATCTTGCTTTTGAAGTTAATAAGTAGTTTGTGATGAGATACTTGAACACCATGTAAATATGTTTCTAATCCAACTTTTACTGATGACAACTAGGATACTTACATTTACCTACTATAGCATTTTACCTATGATAATCTCTTACTACAACAACCTTTAACCTTGATTGATGATTTTCTAACTACATGATTCTTCTATGTTTATTTTTTGGCATCCTACTATAAGGAAAAGCTCTCCCTCCCTCCCTCCTTCTCTCTCTCCTTCCCTCCCTCCCTCCTTCCTTCCTTCCTTCCTTCCTTCCTTCCTTCCTTCCTTCCTTCCTTCCTTCCTTCCTTCCTAAGAATTCATACATTCTTATTTTTAGACTGTGGATTATAATCTATTTTTACCATCATTTGTTTTGATGTTCAAAATAAGCAGTCCCAGATTTGGCCAATGGGAACCTCATTAAGTGGGCATCTGTGGCCTTTTGAAATATCCCTATCATCCTTTGCATACTTCCTTACATTCTAGTGTGATAAAGTACTCCAAGCTAATTTTGTTCTTTTCCTGCTCCAGCCTTGGTATCAGCCGTTTCTCCAAAGAGCTACATTTTCTTTTAGTTAAGAATTGTATATAGAAACCAGTATTTGGGTGCTAGGTATGTCCGTTGCTACTGAGAGTTCATTGCTTTATGGTTCTCTCAGTATGTGTATATGGAATAAAATTTCTGATCCCTTGTTGGAACAAGTAAGTGCTTTAAAGAGTAAACTTTCTTTCCTTCATCTCTGAAAACTAGGGAGTAGTTTCACAAATGAAAAAACATATACTTTAGAATTCTAGGGATGTCTTTTCTCTATATACTGTTAAGTATTCTACACTGTAATCATTCAAGAAAAAATATCTTGGTATAGCTAGGATGCGTAGGGAGAAAGAGAAGACTTTATTTTTATGAGTTTTTTGAAATTATTTTGGGGGAGCTGTGGTTCATTCTTTGTCTCAATTTTTAGAAGTTTGATATAATTGGATCTTTGGGACATTATCCCTGAAGGACCTGAAGTTTCAAACCTCTGTAATATGTAGCCACTGAACTTTAAATTGTTCAGGGACAACAGGTATTCCCCAAGACAACAGATGATTTAAATTTACATAGTATTTTAGTCGCTATCCTTTGGCATTTTTAGTTATAAAAGTAACAGTCAATACTTTGGAAAGAAATGAATTGCACTGTTGATTTTTGTGTAATACGTTTTTAACATGGATGCATTCATCCTTTCTTGCACTTAGCTAACTTTATGAAGTACATCATAAGACAATATTTTATTTGGAATTGGTGACAGGGAATTCAGGTAGGAGGAACCGCTTTTTCTTGGCTACTATTTTTAAACAATAGACCATACCAAGTCCCAGGCAACTGGGCTGATTTTTCATTCTCAAAAAATTGTGTTTTCTTTGCTAGTCTTAAGAGTAGCACAAAAAATTTTAAGTTTCTTTAAAACAATCTTGTAAAATAATATAATATGATTTTTGTAGAGAATTTGTTAAATATAAAATCTGGCCGAGAAATCCCTAAGAATCTGTTAGCTAACTAACTACTGTGATGTGGCAGAAATGGAGTTCTTAGGAAGAAAAGCAAAAACTCTGCATGCTCAAGTACCAGGGAGGGAGGTGATACTGACAGGCATTTCCTAGCATACTACGAGTATTCAGCGTTACTGATAATGTTTGGACCTATGATGTAAGCTGCCCGGGAACTGATGTCTAAAATAGAAAAAATTGGAAGGACTTGCTAATATGCTAGATTTGAGATACAGTGGAGAAGTCAAAGATAATAATGTAACGTGAGTCAAAAGAATAATGTAATATTATGAAACACTTTGAAAAATATTATGCTCCGGTTATAGGACCATGATATAAGATATTGCTCACAATATTACTATTTTTATCCTCACCATCTATGCCACTTTTTAAATATGGAGAACTGGGAGACAAAGGATAACACTGACTGAAACCGAGAAACTGGAAAAGAACATCAATGGTGAGACAGTGAAGACTGAAATATTGTAAGATAAACCATATAATTGGGGAGTTTGTCTATGAAAGAAAGAGCAAAAATAAGATGGCTTATTGCATATGTAGCATGACAATGAAGGAAAATTTTAAGAACAACTGTATTTGAAAATAGGCAAAAACTAGTGGGGAAAGGAAAAATATTGAAGGTGGTAAAGAGCAATACCAGTGCAGAAGCAAGGTAAATTTTAGTAATTTTTTTGTTAATGTGAAATGTAAAAAAAGAAATAAAACCTTAAATGTCTTGTTTATAATTAGATGATCTATAATAATCTCTTCAAAGAAATTTTAAGATAATTTAAAAAGGGAGTTTAATTTCTGCATTTTCTGGGTCTTCATGAGTTTTAATGTATAACAAGAATATTACCTGGGTATAATTTTTAGACCTATTTACATACTCACAAAGGTATGGGGCTCAATAATGCATGAAACTGTGCAGTGGATGTATCAGTGTTTTAATGAGGTGGGTTATTTTGTGTGACTTGTAAACTGGCTGATAAATATAATCAGAACAGGTGTCTGCAATGCTTTAAACAGTGTCATCATTTTTGGAACAAGTATATGGACCTCCAAGCTGTTAGCTGGAAAGGACAGAGTTCATTTAGACCCAGAACTTCATAGGTCTTCATGTAAAATTTATTGATTTGTTTCTTTCAACATTCTTCCTCTTCTTCCAGTGAAGATCATTAATGGTTTTTATTGTACAAATGTGCTTTCTTTTCTTTACTTATCTGGCTTACATTTCTAATTTGTGCTCAATAATTTATTGTGTTCATTTATTTTTTTCATCATTCTGTACTTTAAAATCTTTACTGAAAGCCTGTGTGCAAAGCATAGGATTATGAGTAAGATTCAAATGTTAAATATGTTTATTTTTGTTTTTAAATTCAGTCTTTTCTAAGTTTTATTGTGGAAGAATCAACTTTTTATGTAGATCAAACCTATTTTTTTCCCCTTAAATCAATAGATGCACTATCCTGTGATTTTTGTGTGTGTGGTAAAATTATGTTTATAATAATAAAATAAGTTTGAAAGTATTTTCCTAAAGTAAATGAACATTTTACTTTATCCATCTCTTTATGTCCTCAGCTGAAATGAACAGAAGTAATACTAGAGTAACTACAGATGAAAGAAAGGAAATGCAAGGAGAAAACCTCACTATTGGGGGCTTTTTTTTCCTGGAGGGCTTTTCTAGATACCCAAAGTTAGAGATTGTTCTCTTTGTCTTCAGCCTTGGAATGTATCTGATAACACTTTTGGGAAACAGCACTCTTATTTTAATCACTATCCTAGATCCACACCTGCAGACCCCCATGTACCTGTTCCTTGGAAATCTGTCTTTCATGGATATTTGTTACACATCTGCTTCTATTCCCACTTTGCTTGTGAACTTGCTGTCATCCCAGAAAACCATTGTCTTTTCTGGGTGTGCTGTACAGATGTACCTGTCCCTTTCCATGGGTTCCACGGAGTGTGTGCTCCTGGCTGTGATGGCGTACGACCGTTATGTGGCCATTTGCAACCCGCTGAGATACCCTATCATCATGAACAGGCAGGTCTGTGTGCAGCTGGCCACTGTCTCCTGGATGACGGGCTGCCTGACCGCCCTGCTGGAAACCAGCTGTGCTCTGCAGATACCCCTCTGTGGGAATCTCATCAATCACTTCACGTGTGAAATTCTGGCAGTGCTGAAGCTAGCTTGCACAAGTTCACTGCTCATGGACATGACCATGCTGGTGGTCAGTGTGCTGCTCCTGCCCATCCCAATGCTCTTAATTTGCATCTCTTATGTCTTCATCCTTTCCACCATTCTGAGGATCAGCTCAGCGGAGGGAAGAAGCAAAGCCTTTTCTACTTGTGGTGCCCACTTGACTGTGGTGATCTTGTATTATGGGGCTGCGCTCTCCATGTACCTAAAGCCTTCTTCATCAAGCTCACAAGAAGTAGATAAAATCATCTCGTTGCTTTATGGAGTGCTTACCCCTATGCTGAACCCCATAATTTACAGTTTAAGAAACAAGGAAGTCAAAGATGCTGTGAAAAAACTGCTGGGTCAAATATCATTGCATCAAACACATGAAAATCTCTGACTGGGTGCCTGCGGTTTTCCCCAGGACGCTCCCCTGGCAGAACTCACCAGAGAAATTCTAGGTAATACACTCACCTTTACAACACTGACTTGTACCTTAGCTCTGTAATTTTACGGTTGTAAGATACATGTACACAGATTGATTACCTGTGGACAGTAGTAGATCCCAGTTTGTATTTGGTGATGTTTTCTGTCTTTTGTGTTTCATTGTTGTGAGAAGCTTTGGGCTATAGCATCATCACACATTTGTCCCAGAAGGAAACTCGGATAAATTGAGTCAGTGAATGTTAGTGCCAGAAGAAACTTGCATACCATCTCTGCCTTACATCCTTTCTAGGATGAGGTGGCAGCATGAAGAAACAAAGAAACAAGTAACAGAGATTGGCCTTGACTATGCAAGGGAGAAAACAGAATCAAAGGAAAATTAAATTGCTCAACATCACACAGTTGCCGAACTGGAACTTCAACCCTCATCCTTTCGACATCTTCGCCAGAGCTTGTCCTGCCATACCGTGGTGGCTGTCTCCTTACCCTTCCTTTTTCAAACTCCTGATTTAAACTCCTTGACTTCCTGAAGGCATCCAATGCTTATTTGATTTGCTCACCTGCCAACTTTGCTTTTCCAAGCACAAAGATACTTGAGAAAACTGTATCTGTTTCTGGTGTACCATCGATATGCTAATTCAGTCTTTTTCATATGTGTGTGTGTGTGTGTGTGTGTGTGTGTGTGTGTTTCTTCATTGGATGATTGACTTCACAAGGGCAAGGATTCCTATAATTTTGTACCTTTTTATGTATATAGCAGTGATTCAGTAAACTAATAAATTTATCAGTTTTAAACTAATCACTTTATTTGAGAAGTTAATACCACTTGTAAAAATTATAAAGAAGAAACAGCATGTGTAATGAGGTATATCGCTTTATAAATACCTAACAATTACAGAGACAATTTGTATTAGTTATTTTAAGTCTTTTACTTGTATAAACATACTACTTGTTTAAAACGCAGACTGAGCCTCTATTCCCACATATTCTGATTCAGTAGCTCTGGGGTGGGGTCCTAATAATCTGCATTTATGATAGATCCCCAAGAAATTCTGATACAGGTTGTGGATGACTATGGGACACATTGTTCCCAGCAAAATCTATCATTCCAAAAGAAAAGCAGGATTAGTTCTTATTTCTCCCTTTTGCCTTTTAATTTTATTTTTTTCTTCCATTTTTTTCTGCCTCCTTGTGTACCTTCTCACTTGCCTACCTCCACTTCTAGAGTAGGGAAGAGGAGAGGGTGTTGAGTGGAGGAAGGTTAACCCAATTGACAAGTTTCAAAATCTGAAAGACCTAAGAAGATCTAGTATTGGATGTTGAATTTAGAATCCCAATAATCCAGTTCTGGATTATTTAACTCGTAGGCCATTCCCTGAGATCTTAGTTTTCCATTACACGTTCCTAGATGTGTTACCTACATTTAAAAAGACTTTCAATAGACACTCAATAAAATTCTGGTGACGGAGCAAGGGGACAAATTTGATGCCAGATATTGCTGCCAAGAGATATTTGGCAACGGGAGATGGAAACAAGCCCTGATTTGGGAGGTAGCAGGGGAGAGCTGACCAGGAAGCTTTCATAGAAGCTGCAAGTAATTATTTTTCTCCTGAGATACCTCAACCTTCTCAACCCAAACACCACATTCATTTCCTGGCAATTTCAGAGTCATTTTGAAGTGACATTTTATAGTAGGCTTTTATTAGAGTAGAGCTGGATTTTTATTTATATTTATTTTATTATTTATTTATTTATTATTTTTTTTTAGCTGAGCCATCCTGCCACCTGTTGGCAGCTCAGCAGCTGCTCAGCTCGGGCCGGGAATCGAACCGCTGTTGCTCAGAGCTCAAACTCTTGAGCGAGCTCTTAACCAACTGAGCCACTCGGCTGGTCCCATGAGGTACTTTTTTGGGTGTCATAGGGGATGCAGACATGAGCAAAAAATGAATTTTTGTCCTTATGGAGTCCAAAATCTAATAAGAAAGACAAGCATAAAAATATCTAAAAACTCATGGTAGAACAGTCACTTCATGTTATAAATAATGCTTTTATATTATCATACTTCATAATGATAATAAGTTTTCAAGTGATTTCTTTGTTTGGCTTTGCAGAAGGTGGTGCTGGCCTCATAGAATGACTCAGGAAGTAATTCCTACTGTTCTATTTTTTTTTTTTTGGAAGAGTGAGAGTGTTGGTGTTAATCCTTTAAATGGTTAGCAGAATTCACTAGTAAGTTATCTGGTACTGATTATCTGGTACTGACTTTTTTTGTTGTGAAATTTTTGATTACCCATTCATTATTCTTACTAGTTATAAGTTGGTCCAGTTTTCTATTTCTTGTTGAGTCAGATTTGGTAGTTTGTGTGTTTCTAAATTGAAAGGAAGAAGTAAATTATCTTTGTAGATGACATGATTTTGCATGTAGAAAATCTTAACTGATGAAAAAGCCAACTATTAGAGCTAATAAACAAGTTCACCAGAGTTTCAGGGTACAAGATGAATACACAAAAACCAGTGATATTTCTATATGAGAGCAGTTAATCCAAATAAAAAATTAAGAAAACAATTCCATATAAATAGCATAAAAAGAATAAAACAGGAATAAATTTGGCTTAAGAGCTGCAAGACTTTTACAATAAAAACTACAAAATTGTTGAAATAAAATGGAGATCTAAATAAAAAGAAAAATTTTTCCATGTTTATGGATTGGAAGATAATATTATTATTAATTTTTAATTAAAATAAAAAATGTATTGTAGTTAAAAAAACACATAACCAAGTTTATCATCTTCACGATTTTTAAGTGTGTAGTACCGTAGTGTTAAGTATGTTCACATTGTTGTGTAACATCTCCAGGACTTTTTCATCTTACAAAACTGAAACTCTACATACATCGAAAAACATCTCCCCATTTCTCCTTCCCCTAGCTCCTGGAAACCACCATTCTAATTTTGTTTCTATGAGTTTTGACTAGATGCCTTATATATGTGGGATCAAACAGTATTTGTCTTTTTGTGAGTGGCTTATTTCACATAGCCTAATGTTTTCAAGATTCATCCATGTTGTAGATGTGACAGAATCTCCTTTTTTATAAAGCTGAATAATATTCCATTGTATGTATATACCACATTTTCTTTATGCATTCATCCACTGATGGACATTTAATTTGGGTTGCTTCCACCGCTTGGCTATTGTGAATAATGCTGCAATGCATGTGGGTATGCAGATATCTCTGTGAGACCCTGCTTTCAATTCTTTTGCATATATAGCCACAAGTGAGATTGCTGGAACACATGGTAGCTCTGTTTTTAATTTTTTGAGGAACCTCCATACTGTTTTCCATACTGGCTGCACCATTTCAGAATTCCACAAACAGTGCACAATAAACTCCACATCCTCACCAATACTTATTTTCTATTTTTTTAAATATTAACCATTCTAATGGGTGTGAGATGATCACATTGTGGTTTTCATTTGCATTTCTCTAGTGATTAGTGATGGTGAGCATCTTTTCATATACTTTTTGAAAAATATATATCTTTACAGAAATGTACAGAAAAAAATGTTTTTTGCCAATTTTATTTTCTGGTCTCTATTATGTCCTTGATTAGTAAGTTCTTTCACATGGGTAACTTGGCGCTCTTTCCACTCTTTTTATTGACTTTTTTTGAGTTGTTTTAGGTTCATGGAAAATTGAGGGGAAGGTGTGGAGATTTCCCATACAACTCCTGCTCCCGGCACCTCCCCCATTATTATCTCCCACCAGAGTGGTTCATTTGCTACAATTGATGAACCTACATTGACATGTCATGATCACTCCAAATCCATAGTGTACATTATGGTTCACTTTTGGTGTTGTATATTCTTTAGGTTTGGACAAACGTATAATGACCTGTATCCATCATTATGACATCATACAGAGTATGAAACGTCACAGTATTTAGAGTAAATTTATGAAACTTGAGAGTAATACTATTCCTTGAATCCTATTATGAGTATTTCACTATTACTCATAAATAGAGATCATTTCATTTTGAAGGCATGTCAAATTCCCCTTAGGAAACTTTTTGAGAAGAAAAGTTCTCTTCCTAATAAGTCTCGGTTGGATTTTCCCAAGCTCGTCCCTAACCTATTGCCAACCCACGAGACTGAGTCCCACCATGTCTTATTTAACTTGTTTGCACTTCCAAGGCAGCAGTGCCATTTGAGTTCTGAACTATAATGAAGCCCATTGAAACCAGCTCCCTCCGGGGCAGTGAGAGCTAGTCTGTGACTTGTTCTTGTGTAGTGGGAATAATGTCATAATGAAGAACTGAGGTGCTATAGAGAAAGAAAAGCATCGTGACTACATTTTGTCAATAAAGGCATGCTCTTGTGCTATTTGGAGAGCTAAGTCAAGGGGTTGCTTCTCCCAAAGAGCCATGGGAAGATCCCAGAGGGGTGATGGGGCATCTGGAATGAGAAAAGGACTAGGTGGAGTGGTATGCATGTATTTTACTGCTCCTTGAGCAAAAAGTACCTTTTCAGTGTGGCTTGTTCCACATCTTCCATTTTCCTATCTCAAATGGGCCTGTGGAATAACCAATACATTTCCCTATATCTTTATCCTACTGACCTATCTATCTTAAGGGCAGAAAGTTTCCTCAACAATGTGTTAATAGTAGCAGAGTGGCCAGAACAAAATCAAGGGCTAGTCCCGTTTTACTCCACAAGGGTCAGAGCTATTTTATTGAGTCTGATTTATTTTGAATCTTGGGCTCATGCTAATTTTTATAGTTGCACTAGGGGGCACTGTTGAGTTATAAACATCCCAATAGTGTTTGCCTGGTTTCTATTAATGCTGAACTTGCAATTTCTTTCATTTATGTCAGTGCTTTCACCTTCTGTGCTAACAGTAGGATATGAAAAAGATGTGTAGATTTGTTTCCAGTGCAGAAAAAATAATGTGACTTAAAA